ACAATATATGTTGGAATTGCGAGCGAATGAGTGAAATTTTAAAAATCACATTGTCTTAAATCTAATACATTCATCTCTCCCCTCAGAATCTATAATATTGCATTAACCATTAATTGGTATTAAAACATTAAAGGTACACAGAGGAGTGCACAGTGCACTGCTGCTATTATAAAGGGTCTGTGCAATAACAAGACAAACCAATTTTCATATAAAAACCGATATTTGATGTAGGTGCAAATAAATTACAAATATATCTATGCAAGAACGAGACAGAGATCCATCAATCCGTATAGGAAATATAACGTAGGTCTTATTACTAGTCTTGAAAGTTGAAGCTGTCTGGTTTTTATTTTCTGACGAAAAACACATAGCTCTAAGAGAACATTATATTGAATACTAAGTTCTGGTCAAAAGGCTCCATAAATTAAAATTAAAATTTTTGATAATTTTGAAAAACGACATTGTTTGGTTCAGGGCTTGGAACCGAAATCAAAAATTATTTTAACCGGAACCTATTTAAAATATTGGAACCGGGACCTTACCGAAACAATTTTTTGATTTTATTAGGAACCTAAATCGAAACCGGAACCGATAATTGTCAGAAGAGAATTTTTCGGTTTATTTCGGTTCTAGTTTTATTTAATTATTTTATATAATATGGTAATTTGGCCACATGCACATCATACAAAATTTTAGACTTTTATTTAAATTAAACAACTTTTTATAGAAACCATTAAATATTTGAGTGTTTGATTGTATCAAATTATACTAAGCACTGACTTCCACTTCTTACAATATGAGCCAACACTATTTTTTAAAATTTGTTTTGGATATTTTTAAAACAAAATTATAGTAAACTTTAGTAAAGTCTTTTAACCCAATAATTCTTCTATAATTTGATTTTATCTTTTTATATACCTCTAATATATGTATGAAGTGTATATTTGGTTTTTTTTTTACTTTTTGAAAAAAAAAATATACCTCTAAATACCGGTATTTACCGGTACCAGAACCTGAACCTTAATTCTGTAATTTTAAGAACCGGAACCGTTTTCGGTACCGAATTTTCATTTTTTTCTTAAGAACCGAATTGGAACCGAAATCGAAAATATCATAAACGTTCACAGCCCTGGTTCGGTTTTTGCACAGACCCCTTTATTTTCTATCAATGATACTATTTTTGGTTAAATCAAACGATTACTTTGTTGTTTTTTTTAATTTATTGGTGGAAAAAAATTCGATAAAATCGACCAACTTGTAAATTTCGCAGTTGATATAATAAAACATTTAGTTCGACGTCCTCGGCTCGATGAACACTAACCGTTTAAAATTCATTCGTGTTTCGGCACTCGGCCTTATTCTCCGTAGCGGTCGGTATATACATTAGTATACATTATACGGTATAGGTACCGATGATCGTGCAGCGTGAGATCCACGTCCTTTTGCAGAAAAATAAATATTTAGTTACGCTAGGATTGCCCTTCACTGCGACTCGTTTCCATTTCACGCCACTTATAATTATTATTGTTGTTATTTTACAGTGGATAGCGCTACAAAACCTCAATCATTCAGTGCATATAGCTGTGCCTATCTGAATTGTATTATTATAATATTTGTATTCCTACCTAAATATTTTCCGCAAGCCGATGATGTGGGTGGTGGTGTCACTTATCTGTGGCATTGGCCGAATTCGAGGATCGCAACAAAATATTTAGGTTAGGTACATCAAATCGGTTCTCTCTTCTCATCACAACTAAAATGCTTCAACCAAATTGGGCCGCACTAAAATTATTATGCAATATTATACTGTTCACTAATTACAATAAACATCGTGGCCCATATTTTTTTTTTAACATAATATAGATATTATATAAATCTATTAATAGTTAATACCTACAAGGCTACAAAAGAATTTAAAGTTCAACATTTTAGGTATGCCTTTTTCAAATGAAAAACAAATTAAACATTGATACTAATTTTATTTCATATTAAACAGTTCAAAACAAATCAAAATATTTTGAAAATTGTATGGTGTACAGAAATGCTAATATAAACAACCAGTAAAAATGTAATGTTTCTACGGTCATTTGTTTTAGAGTTACACCAAAAACCAAAATCGATTTTGTCGAAAACCGATTTTGGGTAAAATTTTTTTTTGTTCTTCCCTGCGCTTTTGAAAATTACTGGGACTTTGTGACCGTCCCAATGCAAAAACAATATTCATTTTCCAATCGAACAAGATACTGAAGTTGAAAATCGAAGCATTATTTCGTCTACTTATCGTGTACACGGACACAAAAAAAAATAATAATAAAAAAAACCCACATCATTGTAAAATCAATACATTAATCGTTCCACTGAGAATCTAAAATATAACATAAAGACAATATTTTACCCAAAATTGATTATATTTTAATCCATTTAAAAGAAATTAAATTTTAAATTTTAATAAATATTGGAATAAATATTATCAATTAATTATGACCTATATTGCCCATTATCTATTATGGGTAGTGGGTATACTTACATTCAGCCAAAAAATGAAAATTAAATTGTTTGAGTTTTTATGAACTCTTTTAAAATAAAAATAAAAAATCTAAATCCTCTTAATATTTTTACTTAGGTCGGTGGTTGATTGACAATTGTTTAGTAGGTAATTAATAACTTTTAATTGATGTTGTAATGTGAAAGTGGTTTGTAGTTTCCTTCAACTTCATCAACTCTGCTCTTACTATTTAAATTATACATCAAGGCGTTTTGTACAGGCAATTTCGCTACACCATTGTCATTGGTAAAATATCTATTTTTTGGTGCCTCATAAGCAGAGTAGCGCGTTTATTCGAATGACATTTTATTTAGATGTTTATTTAGATAATATGTTATTGGAATAAATTATTATTTGGATGATTTTTTCACCACTTTTCGAATGAAATTAATGTATTCGATAATTTGAAAACATTATTATTTGAGTAAAAAAATATTTGAATTATTTTCAAATAATTAATTTTCTTAATAAATAATTAAAATATAATTGATAACTCATAATTATAAAAATTTTTTGTCGCTACTGATACCAACTAATGAAAATGTTATCACATGATCAATCATGCGCCTTACAAATTTGACAGTCTTCATTTGGAATGTCATAGTTAATGAAAATTTACAAAAATAAAAACTACAAATATCTATTTTATACATATATATATACTAGCTGATCCTGTGCACTTCGTTGCCCGTTAAATGTACCAACTCTATATGACTCAAACTTTGTTCAATTCGTTATTTAAAATTCGGTGTATGGTGTTCAAAATTTATCTTACCTATTCTGTTGCCTGGAATAAAAATTCTGATTCGCAGCAGTATATATCAGGTAGGCAATCTACCTGCGGTAGATCACAGACCCAGTTGTGTTTGTACGTATAAGTGTATGATTTAACTCTAAAGTATCAAAGTTATACCAAGTTTATTTTGATGTAATACGGTGGATTAATATAACAAATTTGGTTGCCCGTAAAAAATCGCAACTCTTAAAAATATTATGATTGTTCAAATCCTATTGGGTGTAACTTGCTGCGGTACCTAAGTGCAACTCAGCCACCCTGGCAGGCAATGTTCAATAATTCGATTTGATGCAAGCTTGTACCTGATCTGCCCGAATAACCAATGGCAACCAATAATAAATAAATGCTAATTTCTACTGTAGACTGTAACCAATGGCAACTATTAATAAATAAAAATAAAATTTCCAATTTCCATCGTGAATCTCAATGTCCCTGTTTGAGCACCTATTTAAAATGCGAATTCTCATCAAATCCTTTCTTATTGCACGGTGTAAATATGAGAAGAACCTCTATTCTAAATTTCAAGTCCGTATGTGGCGTAGTTTTTGAGATACAGCGATCAGTGAGTGAGTGGTATTTGGATTGTATATGTATAGATTATACATACAGTACAATTATGTACGAAAATGGGAATTATTTCAATATTTCAAGAAAATCAATTTTCTATAACATTATCATCTGCGAGACAGCAGGACATTTAAATATTAAAAATATTTCTTAAGTTCAAAACGTAATAATATTACTTTTTCGATAATAATAATAAAATTGTTCTATTTTTATTCATTCGATTTACTGAGAATAGCTAAAATATTCACAAGATTTGCGGTTATGACTTTGGCTGGTAATTTTTACAGTGTATAAGTGCATTTGATTTATTTAAAATTTTAGAATTTAAAATTTAGTCTGAGCTCAGAAAAACGAATATAAATGTGAGAAACATAAGTTTCTTTAGCCATTATTGTTTTTATCAAATATTATATTATTGATTGTTAAATATTGAGGGCTATTTAGTATCATAAATGTTATAATTATTTTTGTTACTGTGAATACCTAGTTATTTTCATTGATACTATTTAAGTTTTATTAATTTAATATATTCATAAGTACACACAAACATAATATAAATTATAAAATGTTAAATATTCTAACTAAATATCACCTAGCACACAAAACTATCTTTATTTTGGCAATCTTAGTTCTTGCTGATTGCTATAACACTTCATATACTCATCCTTTTTCTCAGTATGTGGGGTAAGTTTATATTGATGTAGTAACAATGTGCAAAGGTATTAGTGGTGTCTTCAAACACAATATAATTTAATATTCCTGTTAGCATCAGAGACGATCAGGTTTGATAAAAACAATAAGTCGCCAAAATATATTATTCTAGGCACACCACAATTGTATTTATTAAAGTAATTAAAATACATTAGTTTTTGTTTTATATATTTATTCATAAAATATATTGTGAGTAAACAAGGCACGTAAATAGGAATTATAGTACGTCACACGACTATGACGATAAAATTATCACAAATACGCCAAAGACAACAACAATATAATGTTTTATTATAAATTACAAGTATCTGATACACCCGCGCAAGCAACCAAAATTGTTGAATATAATTAATAATTGATAAGACAACACTGGAGTGGCTGTTATTGTTCGACGGCTGCGTTGGCTGCGATACTTGGACTGTTGATCACCTCCCCCAAACACTCCAATAGCTCTTTTCGGTAGTCATCAAAGTCGCCATCAACTTCGTTGATTGTCTGGTCCTCGATAACCCATAGTGTACATTCAGTATCACGGATCAGTCGTTCGTCGTGAGATACAATTATGACACCTTTATCACAAATGTAAACAAGATAAAATATGATGAAATTGTACGGTGAATTGAATTGAAGTGTAAAAAATATCAATAAATTATCCATTTAATATCACTCACCTCCTTTGTAATCGTTTATCGCTTCTGCTAGAGCGTCAATGGATTCAATATCCAAGTTGTTTGTAGGCTCATCCTGTAACAATTAGAAAAGGATTAGCAACATTATGGTAAAACAAAGCTATAAAAAAAAATATAGTGTTTTGTATGCATAAGTATTTAAAGAGATATATTATGTCGCGAAAAATTACACAATTGATGTCACTTATTTTAGCTGAGAATTTTATATTATATTAATATCATACGGTAATATAAGAAAAAAATCAATTTCAATTTGTTTTAAGAGGAAGCTATACTCGCATGTGTTGTCTCCGTCTTACAAATGTAAAACATTGCTAAAACAGTTTTGCGCGGGTAAGAACTACTCAGACCAAGCTAAGCAACTAAATTTCCACACTATAAAGAATTCTGATATCGAAAAAATAAAAAAGTTTCTAAAACGGAGACAACACATGAGAGTGTGGTGTCCTCTTAAATCGTCCTGTTAGCAACTAGGTACAAAATATTTAGTATGGGTTTTGATTTTTTTCAATATTTTTTATCATACCAACACTCAGGAAGCCCACTTGAAATAAAACTCAGAATTCTACTCAGTTATGAATGCTGCGATATCACGGGGCTTACCAGTATAATGACGTCAGGCGCATTCAGACAGAGTTCAGCCAGGGCAACACGGGCCTTTTGTCCACCAGACAGGTCCTTCATGCGGATCGTATGAGCGTGGCCTGCCAGCCCAAAAGTACCCAGCTGCTTGCGCGCTTTTTCATACGGCAAGTCGAATAACCGCATCAAATATTCGGCGGGCGTCTCTTCGGCAGTCAAATGTTCACCGGAATGCTGGTCGAACTTTCCAAGTTTCTGCAAAAATGCGTGTGGGATGATTTTAATCAATTATTAATGAGTGCATGTGTATACATACCATCCGATGGTTCTTTCGCATTTCACCGATGCTGGGCTGCAAATCACCAGTCAACAGCTTAAGGAACGTCGACTTGCCTACACCATTGGGCCCGACAATAGCTACCCGGGAGTTGAGGTCAACGCCAAAATCAACATTCTTAAACAACGGCTTCTGAGTGGGATATGCGAAACTCGTACCTGTGAAATTAAATGAGGGTCACAACATCAATGATAGCATTTTATCTTTTAATAATAATATAATGTCAAGTTAATTAGGTTGCTGAAAATGACTCACTGTGTAGACCCAGTATAGGCGGCTGTAATGGACTGGGATCGGGGAACGAAAACTTGACGTTGTAGTCTCTGGGCTTTTGTAATAGCTGGGTGGGTTCAGCGTTGTCATCATCGTCAATGCCAGCACCTTTACCCGGTTTGCCCTTGTTCTTTTCCTGTTTACGGGTCAATACTTCTTTTTGTTTTTTCTCCTGTAACCACACAATATTCTCATTAGAGATTAGCTCTGAGCAGCGGTCGGGTTGATACTGGAAATGAAAAACTCACGGCTTGCTTCTTGGATTGACCTTGTTGTTTCATTTCCTTCAGCCGTTTCTCCTGTTTCTCGTATTCCTTGATGGTCTCCTTTTTTTTCTGTGAGTACATTTTCTTGAACATACTGTAATTACCTTTGTAATAGAACAATCGCTTCTGGTCCAAGTGAATGATCTCGTTACACACGTTGTCTAAAAAGCTCTGGTCGTGAGATACGACTAATAGAGTTTTTTTCCATCCCTGTAAATAACTATCAACATTCTGTTTAACGAAAACCGTTAATTTATGTAACACAGAAGTATTTCTATGAGCAAAACACCAGACGATATTCGCATCGACCAACTCGAAGTAACTCACTTGTCCAGCCAGATGACAGCGTTCAAGTCTAAATGATTAGTCGGTTCGTCGAGTAATAACAACGTAGGTTCCAGAAACAGAGCCCGGGCAAGGGACACGCGCATCCGCCAGCCTCCCGAGAAGTCTTTGGTGGCCCGGTCCTGCATCGCAGCGGAGAAACCAAGACCAGCAAGTATGCGCCGAGCTCGGGGTTCAGCCGAGTCGGCCCCGAGCACCTTGAGCTCGTCGTATACCTAAGTTACGAGAAAAAAAATGGTGTGTTAGAGGTAAATTGCCAGATTATCAAACGCCCACGATTCACTCCACCCACTCACTTCGTTTAGTCTTTCCGTTACGTCTTCGCCCGTGCCTTTTTCTTGAGCTTCCTCGAGTTTTTTACACTCAGCTAGCAACTCCGTACACCGAGTGTCCGCTCTAAGTACGGCCCGAACCGCCGTTGTTTCATCAGCCACTACCTCCTGTTCGCAGTATAGGATATCAATACCCGGTGGCACGTCGAACAGGCGTTCGGCAATGTGTCTGAGTAGTGTTGTTTTTCCGTGACTGTGCAATACATTACAGGAATGACATCGTTATTAGACGAAGAGGACGAAACATCAATAAAGTAACTAATAAATGAACATTATTATAAGCTCAGTACTCACCCATTTGGTCCGACTAGACCGTACCGCCGGCCGTGGGCAATCAGCAGACTAGCGTTGACAAACAGGTCCTGGCCCTTGGCCGCGATGCTAAAGCTATCGATTTTGATGTCGACAGCGTGCTCCATGGCTGCTAGCTGACCTGCCGTCTTTTGAATCTGTGACACCGAGAAGTTTGCGCCCAACTCACTATGACCCTGACCCCCTTTCTTTGTCATTAAATCCATTTGTTTCTGATATTCCGTCTTGAAAGAACAAACAATACAGTAATTACAAATCAAAAAATTTCCACCAATTATTGATAACTATTCAAACTATATAATGCGTACCTCTTTTTTCATTTTTTTCTTCTCTTTATGGGACATTTTATCAGATTTGTTTGGGAGCTCCTTAGATTTCGACTTTTTTTTGGGCTCTTTTACTATATCCTGTGCAGCTTCGTCCACGAGTTTGTCTAACGAATGTGAACATGTTATTAATACACAATATTATCCGCTATATTATATACGCTATTATCACAGACTTCTATACTACACTAGATAAGGAACTCTTATATAATCACGGACTAAGATATAATGGACTGGAAACGACAAGGTGGGCGGGTGACGGGGGACGGCCCGCAAAAGGTGTCTCTGTTATCATCAACACTCATAATCGAATGTTTTCAGCGCTACCAGTGGTTTTATTTTGCGTCACATTTTGTATCTCAGTCCATGTTTTATACAGAGGGCGCTGTAAACTCTCGATTATGGTTGCGACCCCCCGCATTTGCTTCTTGTACATACTTTCGAGGCCACTGATAAGCTGCTCGTTTCCAGTCCATTATATCTTAGTCCGTGTATATAATTTACATTGTTACAAGTGAAGCTCAGCTGTGAACGGCCGCCATTTTGTCGGTTGGCAAAACATTTCATTTATTATACAAAATGTATTAGGAATAATATTTTTTTTAACGGTCAAATAAAATAGTAAATGTAAAATGACTTAAGGTGAAGTGGGGTAAGTGCCTAACTGGGGTAAGTGCGTTTTCCAGCATTAAGGTGGGTAAAATAAATTCTATCACTCATATCAATAATGAAAATTAATCTACAATATAGTGGGAGCTTGAATATCTAGTTTGTGACACTGTACGTTTATTCGTTTGCGTGCTATCAGAGTTGATATCAACAATTGTAATTTCACTCGCGTTTTGAACACAGACTTCTATACTACACTAGATAAGGAACTCTTATACAATGTACATTGTTACAAGTGAAGCTCAGCTGTGAACGGCCGCCATTTTCTCGGTTGGCAAAACATTTCATTTATTATACAAAATGTATTAGGAATAATATTTTTTTTAACGGTCAAATAAAATAGTAAATGTAAAATGACTTATATAAAATATTTTTTTTTTTTTGTAAACTTAATGTTTAAAAATAATAATATACGATATAAAATAAATCATAATATCATCTTATTTGTCATATGAAATACCATACAATTGCCAACCGACCTTGAAGCTTCAATTCATGACCGGAGTTCGCTATCTAGTAATATATAGAAATCTGTGGTTTTGAAATGTAGACTTGTTATCAATTATTTTTTTTGGCATTTCAAATTTATTTCGGAAGTTTCTAACTAAGGTATGTGTAGCTTAGGTTTTTATTGATATTTACGTGTTTAAATATACAATTATATTCGCTAATTCGGATTATGCTCTTCCCCCGTGTAAAATGACCAACTAATTACTTGAGCTAAACACTGTTTTTTTCTAATACAATGTCAGTTATGTATCACATTAATATTTAATCTATTAATTATGATTTATACTAATATTTTGATATATATTTGTATTATCATTAGTTGAAAATGGTGAAGCATTAGGTATGTAAGAAAAACCAAAAAAGGTGATAGTTACAGCAAAAATGATCTGTATCTTGCAAAAGAAGGCGTGCAAAGTAAACGAATGACTGTTTGTGGTGCTGCCAAGTTATTTAACATACCACGACCCACTCTTCATGATCATGACCATATTAATGGAAGACGTGGTATTAAATCTAATACTATGAGCAGAAACCCAGCACTGGGACCACAGCTTGAAAAAAAATTGGCCAATTTAATAAAAACCATGGATAAATATGGACATGGTTTATCAAGAAAAAAAGTTTTGGATTTAGTCGGTAAATATAATAATGCAAATGAAATAGTAAGTCCATTTAAAAATAGTTATCCCAACCAAGATTGGTGGTTAGGGTTTTCTTATCGACATAAATTAAGTTTAAAAAAACCTCAAGTAGTTGAATGTTCTCGTAAAAAAGCATGCAATCCATTTACTATTTATGGATACTTTGAATTATTACGGAAGACTATGGATGAACTTAAGGGGATTCGATACCGCAATTTTCTGTTTTTGTCTAACACACGCGCGACATAGTATTTTAGACGTGTTTTTTGCCAAACATTCCAATTGATCTATTGAAGAGATAAGATTTCTGAAAACAGATTCGAATTTGTTGTCAAGTCTACTTGAAATCGACTTTCCCACATTTTTGATTTTAACTTCTCCAAAAATTGAAATAACAGAATTTTTAAATACTCTTTTTGAATATGACATTTTAAAAAATTTGGGGGATAATACCAAAAATGTGGGAAAGTCGATTTGAAGTAGACTTGACGAAAAATTCAAATCTGTTTTCAGAATTCTTATCGCTTCATTAGATCAATTGCATGTATGTTTGGCAAAAAACACATCTAAAATACTATGTTGCGCGTGTGTTCGACAAAAACAGAAAATCACGGTATCAAATCCCCTTAATATTATGGATAAACCAGATAAAATATGGAATTTTGATGAAACCTCATTTTGTTTGGATCCATCCAAAACTAAAATTGTAGCTTCGTCATTGGTACACCCCCCCACGCACTACGCACTACACATGGGTCTGGACGTGATAATACTTCGGTTTTAAATTTTAATGGCATGCAGTGCAATAGGTCAAAAAGCACCTCCTTTAATTATTTTTAAAGGGAAAAACATATGGGACAAATGGGTTTCTGACCAATCTAATTTTCCTGGCAAAACTTATGCTTCTACAACAAATGGATGGATGGAAAGAGACGTTTTTCTAAATTATTTTGAAAAAAGTTTCCTTATAACTGCCCAACCTACACCAGATAACCCTGTTCTGTTAATTTACGATGAACATTCCTCACATGTTGATTTAAAGTAATGGGAATTGCCATTAACAATAATGTAACAATTTTATTACTTCCACCCCATTCTAGTCACCTATTACAGCCTATGGATTTGGCAGTGTTTAAATCGGTGAAGACCGTATGGGACCAACGTTTATGCACCTGGAATAGACATCACTATGGACAAAAGTTACCAAACAAGAATTGTCAAGGATTATATGCAATATCTGGGCAACTTTAGACAAAAAAATCATAAAAAATGGATTTAAAAAGCAGGAATTTATCCTTATAACTATAATACAATTGATCCAACACAATATGTGTATTGAGTAATTTGTACATTATAATATTATGAACTTTTTAAGTTGTGTTTAAAAGCCCATATAAGACTAATCAAATTATTGTTATCTAACATTATTTTTAAGCCTTGACACTTTTCTTTTAAACTGTTTAGCGGATTTCTGAGTATTTTTTCTAATTTTATTATGAGGATTGAAAACTTTTTTTCTTATTCTATCAGCCATTTTTTTGTGCTATTCTGCAGTCAAAACAATGACTCAGTAATAGACCTTATAGAAACATAAATATAAGTATGAAACATTATTTAAGAACTAAATTAATACCTATTGGCTATTACAACCCCTTTAATATAGTAATTATTGTACCAAATAATATGACAATGATTAGGAATTTAGGGCGAATGCTAAATATCAATGATGCATAAGTTAACAATCAATAATTTCTCATAAAAACTATTTTTTTCTTTTGGTGGTGATACTGATTTCAGGTAGGTTTTAATTTGCTTCCTTGAATACACAATTTAAGATACCAAGTATACCATAAATTCTGCTTGAATAGGAAGTGCATTATCTGGTTTTATATAATCTGTGTTGGTAAAGGTAAAATGTACAGGTAAAAAAAAAGCTTACCTGTATTATCGCTGTTTTTGCCTTCAGTGGTAATGGATGTCGTCATATCGTCAGCTATTACGTCAGCTATAACGTCGGCACACGGTTCAACTTGCAATTCCTCGTCGATAACATATTTTTTTGCTTCCAAATCAATTTCTTTTTCATTACTCATTACATCATCACCCATCACCACTAGAATTATCATAAATCGGATAGATTGATTATAACGACCTGACAATGGCGGCCCGTCAACATACAATGTACATTCTACACATAAAAAATACAAACCTTCAGCTGTCGGGGTCCTCATAAGGATGTCCTCGTCATCCATTTTCTTCTTTTTGTTTTTTTTCGATTTCTTTTTTTTTCCTGCAAGCTTAGCAGCTTCCAGTTCATCATCTATATCACCGCCGTCTTCGTTGCCTACTTCTTGATCTATAACAGAAATACAGACATAAACGTAGGCTTATGGCAAAGTGTTTTGAATAACTGCAGCAGTTTGAAAACCATAATGTAGTCATATTGTAGTATCTACTGCATGGAATTCCCATTAGCAAACACACCGACAATTACAACAATTTAGTTTATTATAAAACAACTACAGTCAACAACTTCTACAAAGCAAAACTATTAAGATTTGTGTATGTAAAAATACCTTAGTAAGATAAACTAAAGAAAACTTTAAGTTATTAGATGTGTTACTAGTTAAAAGTGTATAATATAAGAAAATATCTATTTTATAAATAATAAGAAATTATGAATCTTTTATAGACATGAAAAATACAATGAAAAAGAAGAAACATAAATTTAAAGTCAAAATTAATTATTCCAGAAAATATATTGGTTAATAATTGTAATTTGGTAAACTTAAAAATTAATACAAAAAACAAATTTAGTTACAGCTATTTTCATTACTAAACTCTATTTAGAATAGGACAACATCAGGCGGCCACGGTCAAAACCGGGTTTTTCTACGTAAATCTGGTGTGCTCTTATTCAGAATAGACTATAGGTTAAGACATTTACCAGTAATAACTAATAGAATACAGTAGAATTGGGCGAGTATTGTATTGAAAAAAACATTCAATTGTTACAATATTATTATTTTTTTAGTAATATTACTTTTCTATATTATTCTATTTTAAAGTAGGTTTTATTTTATTTATTTTTTGTTCTAGAATATCTTTAATTTTATCCAAATATGCAAGCCTGGGCAAGTTAATGATACATTTTAATTGAGTTAAGTAGTTAAGTTGATAGAAAACAATTTAAAAAGTTTAAAGTTAATAGTAATTCTAATTTTTTTTTAAACTCAGTTAAATTAAAAGTTATATGAAAAGTTAATATTAACTTAAGTCAAGTTATTTTTTTTTTTTTTTTTTTAAATAAACTTAAAATAGCCAGTATTATGGTTTAAATGAAAAAATCATATATATTGTTGACAGTATTGGCTGTTTATAAGATGTAAACATTTTAAATAGATACGAGCATAACCCAATTGGTTTTAAATAAAAAAATAATACAGTAATAACTATTTATGTAACTTTATATTATTATGACAAAAATATCTTATAACAATATGTTCTTAAGAAAGGTACATTTGTACCTATATCACATAAGTATTTATTTTATAAACATGCAATATTAATATGCATTATTAATATTTATTATAATTATTAGTGTATGCCGCGGTATGGTATGGTATATATGTATTTAATTCGGTTATTTTATTGAACAATTTTGGTTTATGGAACAAGAATTAAATTAAATTACACTTATTATTTCCTATTTCAGTAAATGCTTATGCAATATGCATCATCAATAATAATTGTATTAAGTTTATTATTTAATTATTTATAAATTAACGTAATATGGACTTACTTAAAACTAACTCATTATTTATTAAGTTTATATTGATAAAAATCAGATAAGTTAAGTAATGAGTTTTCGAAAATTAAATTTTAAAAAGTTGAAATTAACTTATCTTAACTTTTTAACTTAGTTATGTCCAGCTTTCAAATATGTAACTATAACTAACACTGCATTGCGCTTAAAGGTAGATATTTTATTGTAATCATTTTAATATCATGTCAAACTATATTTTGTCTCATTACCTAAGTATTGCAATAATAATAATAATAATAATAATAATAATAATAATAATAATAATAATAAAAATTACAAGCATAATGATAAAATAACAGGTAATCATAAATCATTACTTGGTATAGTCGCCGGTGCTTTGTCGTCTTTATTGTCACCAGTGACCTTTTCAACTTGCTCGTCAGTGTTTTCTACTACTGTTGGTTCATCGTTGGCTTTGACGACTGGTTCTACAATGCTCTCCGATGGTTTATTGTCGTCACTAATTTTGACTAGATAGTCTTGAACTATAACAACATACCATGCCTTTCAGTAATATCATTTATAGACCTAACTACTATATAACAATTTTTTTCTTAGGTGGACCTCATTTGTAAAATATTGCCTTTATGCGAGCCATCAATAATATAATAATATAAATTTAATATTGCATTACTATATTGTACCTTTTAAGCTTTACAATTCAATAACTTGTTTTAATTATATTTTCTACAGATAATCCATAGAAAATTCTATCTTACATTCTAATAAAGATTATCTTATCTTATCTTCAATTATCCAGAATAAAGATTGTTGTTTACTTCAATAAGATCATAACATTTTTTATTTATTGTGACTTTTAAAGTACACAGTTGAGACAGTTGAGTAGCTTCAAATATATAGTAAATAATTTTTTTATTGAATATTATGGATATATGTCTATGAATTATGAATCAAAATAATTTTGCAAACTTAAAAGGTATGTTTTTATTAATACATTTAAAAGTATTTTTACATAAAAAAAATAAAACTGTTGGAAATAAATGATTATTTTAAACTCAAAAACAGGTCATGAGCCAATTAAAAGGCTTCCCCTTAAATCTAACATCTAACTCTCCCTCAGTTAGAATAAAAATCTCTGAAATTACTAATATTAATACACTGGTACCAAGTGTAAATAATAAATGTAATAGGAAAAATAAAGTTAAGAAACATTTGAAATAGTCCTTGTAAAATTATATCATAATAGTTTATAAGTTAACTAACCCAGTGTGCTGTCATCGTCTTCCTCCAAATCAAAATCTTTCTTTTTCCGTTTGTTTTTTTTTGAAATTTTTCCTTTCGGAATTGTAGTCAGTTCCTCATCAGGGACTTCTTCAGTCGATGATATTTCAACCATATCATTCAGATAAGCGTGCATTTCTTCATCAACATTATCAACATCAACATCGTCATCATCAACTAAAAAAATATTATAATGATAAAAGAGTAACTAAAGGAATGAATTAAAATTTTAAACATGCATTTGTACATGCCGAGTTCTGCGCATGGGCGTGGCTTTGTTCCGTGGTGGGGACGGCGTCTGACCATATGTCTGACCGCAGCCCGACGAAAACTCGTCGCTGCCGACTACTGTTCTTATTTTGAACAGAGTATATAGTATTTATTTTTTTATATAAGTATTCATTTCTTTAACTGTTTCTATATTATACCTATTTAACCTATCATTGTAAACTTCTTAGTTTGCTTAAATACTAATATTTGTTACCACTATTTTTAAAGGTAATATGATGGAACTAATACAACTAATTGTTATGAGAATGACATCAATAATCCAAGCGACATAGTTACATTTAGTTACATAAATCATTATATATAATACAATGAGTATAAAATATTGTCCCAAGTGTTGATTTAATTTTCTTATTATAATGTATATTTTTTATTTTAAAGAAGGGAATATTGATATTGAAAAAAAAAGTTAAAAAAGGGTAGATTTTTTAGGGTTCTATAGATTTAGGTATATATTACTTTGGTTACCTAATATTGTAAAACAGCTGATTTATTATTTGCTTCATAAAATGTACTTTGTTATTGCCTAACTTAGAAATATACTTTTATTGAAGGGGAGGAGGTAGAATTGGAATTAAATTTGTCACTGGTTCCACGGCAAAGGCAATGAACCATTGTCACTGTCTCCAACGCTTCCAGTTTGTGGATTATTTTGTGTGTGGTACCATCCATATTTCTTAATATTATAACACAATATAAGGTGTACCTGCTGAATCTTCTTCCAAATCTTGTTCTTGATTTTTATTCTTTTTCTTATTCTTTTTAGAGATCTTATTTCCACGAACTGGCTGTGGGATATCTTCGACATCGTCATCATTGTCATTTAATTTTGTGTCCGCCAATAGATCAACTACATCTATATATTAGCAACAAAAGTATTATTAAAATTAATTTAAATATTATAATAAAAAATATTCATTATAAAATAAAAATTTTTTTTTGTTTAAACATTTTTTAACACAAATTGAGCTAAGGCAAACCGAGATTCTTAAGTTATCAAAAAATATCTAACTTTAAAATGATTTTAGATTAATAATTGTTAATGCTAAGCCATATTAGTTAACCTAAAACCATTTTGTTTTTGCAAAAATAACTCGCAAAAAACCTTGTATATTTTACCTATGGAATAATAGAATATGGCAATGATTTTCTCATACTATTTAATTTATATAGTTCTTAAATTTTTATTCAGAATAAAATTATAAAATCAGTTTCATTACAACATAGATTTTGATAATCTAAACAAATTATTGCCACCTTAATTCAAAAAATATGACTTTTCAGTTTAAAAAAACAATATTTATATTAAATTACATTCATTGTGTTATATATAGTCAGATAATGAATTATTAATCATGGTAAACTAAATAAAAAGAAAATAAACCATCAATAGAATTTCTTTGGTTGATAAAACCATATTTTGTTCACTGGTAAGCTTTAGATTATTGCCTGCTGTAAGTCAACCTGTAATAAGTTGATTACTTAATCAATATATTACCTTCTGATTCGTCATCCCAATCTTGATTTTTATTTTTCTTTTTGTTTTTTTTAGAAACTTTATTTCCACGGTTAGGTTGTGACACCTCATTGACAGTTGCATCATCATTTACTGCTGAAGCGGCTACAATATCTACCAAATCTATAAATTTAGGATAAATATACTGATTTTGGTAATATATTTTAACTAGGTAGAAATATTTGACTAGGCACATAAATTCTGACAAATTAAACTTCAGAAAAAATATCAATCAAAATACTAAAATATATTATTTACATTCTAGAGAAAAATGTATTATTAGGGCACGAATGTTGTTGCATTGCTGCATTGGTAACTTTTCTTCTACTGTTCCAACTTATTGCTAAGTAAGTTTTGAATACGTTTCTTGTACCTAAGTACAAATTAAAATGTACAATTTTCAATTATATTAGGGCACGAATGTTGTTGCATTGCTGCATTGGTAACTTTTCTTCTACTGTTCCAACTTATTGCTAAGTAAGTTTTGAATACGTTTCTTGTACCTAAGTACAAATTAAAATGTACAATTTTCAAGTGGAATTTTGTTGAATTTACTCATTTATAAAACTATTTTTCAAATCCATTCGTTTAATTTTAAAACTGTTTTTAATTACATTTGAATAAGTAAATTTAAAACAAAAACTTATGGTTCTATTAAACTATGTTTGAGGTAATATAATTTGAATTGTTACAATTAAATGTAAAATATATTTATTTTTTAAGAATTTAAATATTAGTTAAGAAAAAAGAAAGATGAAAATAAAATATGATAAATTATTTTTTATTAAATATTTATTCTTAATATACTGTGAACTGTAAAGTAAAAATTAAACATTGTTATATTTTAGTGCAAATTACAATTTTTGGGTTTTTTTGGTGCAATATTGCAGTCAATTTGACTAGTTTTCTTAGTTACTACCACATAATAGATAATTTGGTTAATTATAACAGGCAATCTCAGAAATATTTTGGAAAATAAGTAGCCCTAGAAGTACCCTATTTTGTAGTGTAAGATTCAAAATACAATAAATTAAAACATATAATATTATACCTTCAGCTTCATCTTCCCAATCTTGATTTTTGTTCTTTTTCTTGTTTTTTTTAGAAGTCTTATTTCCACGGTTAGGTTGCACAGGTTCTTCAGGTGTTATATCATCATTCACTTTGGCGGCAGCCAATATATCCACTAAATCCAAACATTAATAGATATTGTTGGTAAATTTTTAATAGAAATGTTTATAAACAAACTACATAAACTCTTTAATTTAAATGTATAGATTTTACAAGAAGGTAGGTACATATCTAATATTAAATACATAGGTACTTTGTGATTAGAAGCATTTACTTAGAAATAAACGGAAATAAACATGTAGAGATAGGAGTCGAGAATAAATTTTATTAACTTTACCTATCAAAATCAATGAAATAAATATCTACCCAACATACCAAATTTGCATTCATCAAAACCAATCTAGTATTGGAGTTGTTGGCATTATTATTGAAGTGAATTGACCAATTAAAAACTTAAGCAAAATATTTTCTAGGGTACCTTGCGTTTATTGATATATTAATTTTATAGTAAGCTTTAAAGCAATTACCTATGTAAAGTATTACAATCTCTGACATCCTTTTATATAGCAATAAAGTAGGAATTTAATCTAAAAAGTGAATGCAATGGTTATTGTTTTCACTTGGATTTCCACTCTATAATATATTGTAGAGGGGCATAACTAATATAGTTAAATATTTGCTACCCAAGTACTAATTTTTAATAATGTAACTACCTTAATACTCAGTTTTACAGGGCACAGTGTTTTGAAAAATGTACTTATACACATTATACAGAAAGTATATTCAACAGTAGGTAAGTGCCTACTCTAATTAAATATAAAAAAAATTGTGTCATTGAAAGTTTATAGCGGTCAGAACAAAAGGGGCCCTCTACACAATATGTAATAAATTTTCTGTCACACCATAGACCCTAACTGTTTCAGCGATACTGACGCGGTGACATGCAGCACCTGCTGTGGCGTTCTTTCCAGACGGAAAATGGTATCCATATAGCTATGCATAACGTTATTCCTTAGGTGTAAGCAAATGACTCACCAACGGCATCGTCGTCGTCGCCGGCCCAATCCTGATTGTGTTTGTTTGTTTTCTTCGACTTCTTAGGCGGCATGACTAGGCAAAAATGTACCAACTGGCAGGAGAAGACGAAAATTCGGAAACGCGACAGGAATCACCACGGCAACCGGACAAGTCGCGCACACCGGAGACGCGAAGGCTTTCCAATCGGCACGTGAATGTGAAATCGAAAACACGTCGTTACGTCGTCGCCTGAGATAAGGTGATAAAAACAGCGGTGACTGATAATGTGGCGCCACCGCCGCGGCCGTATTCTGTGCGTCATCGTCATAGGTAGAAGGTGGTTGTCACACTCCGGTCGCATCGTCGTACCATAACCGCCATGTTGTTGTTGTTCCTATTATCTATTATCAATTTATCACCGAGACGCAGCATTCTACGCGCACACAAACGCTCTTTATCATCATAATAACAATCCGGCAGTCGCAATTACGACCGGAATTGGCGTTTCCGTCGGTAGAACTTGAGGAATATATAGAGGTTCGATAGACGAGTACTCGCAGACAGCCCGTCGGACGCACGAACGGTCGTCACCGTTGACGTACAAAACGATGTCTTCGCGCTCAGGCTCATCCCTAGGAGGTGGCGGTGGCGGAGGTCTTTCCGCCGGCCATCACAAGCTAGCCGAGAAGCTGAGCTTGATCAACGACCGGGGCGTGGGCATGCTCACGCGGATCTACAACATCAAGAAGGTACGTTGCCTTCGTTTGTATACACCGATGTGCGTTTGCCGTTGTATTCATTTTGCCATTACCGCCTCGTTCGAAAGACACATCCTTCTACTGAAGGCGCTGGTCATTCTGCTGCGATGACGGTGTTAGTCTCAGTGGAGTTAGGGTTGCCATATCATAGTTATTATGAAAGAGTACCTATGTGCTTTTGTGGATAGTATGTCTGATTAAAAAGAAGTTTAGCTGTGTCACAGTTCTCAAATGTTTATTTCCATGCACTTCAACCTAGTTACCCGAGTAGTTACCTATCTTGTCAAATATATAAATTAAAAAACTTTTATTGTTAGGTAGGTATTCTTTTGAATAGAGAAATTAAAATTTATGAGCTTAGGGATGAGTCAAATTGAATAGATTATTATAATACCTATGTTTTTGTTATTTCTTTGCACTTTTAATAATAACATTGTTCCTAATTATCAAAATAAGTACTTAATATAAGTAGTTTAAATGATTAAAATAACACTTATAATATTAATATTTTTTAGATTGAGCATATTCACAAAGCTACAAATAGTATAGGTACCTACTTTAATAATTAAGATGGTACCTAACCCTAGGTCCACCAATATACCTACCTTTTTTTTTTTTACATGATATTGAGGAATGTAGGAGGAACTGCTGTTAGCATTGCTTATCATCCGACCCTCATCGTTTATTGTAGAAAACAAAATATTTTGGTATGATTGGTATAATATATCTAGTTGTATTACCTTCTTACTAATATAATATTACCTAAGTGTCATTTTTAAAATTATTTTAATGACAGGCATGTGGCGATGCCAAATCCAAACCAGCGTTCCTGTCTGACAAAACACTTGAGTCTGCAATTAAATATATTGTGCGCAGGTTTCCCAATGTAGACATCAAAGGTGTAAGTATTTTTAATAGATAGTAATATAAATTTATGTACTTAGGTAATACAAGTATTTGTGACTTTAATATTGACTTGTTTTTTTTTTGGGGGGGATTTTTCAAACTTGAACAGCTTCAGGCCATTACACCCATACGTAACGACATCATAAAATCACTGTCTTTATACTATTACACGTTTGTCGACCTTCTTGATTTCAAAGATCAGGTGTGTGAACTATTAACTACTATGGACGCATGTCAAGTGAATCTGGATATTGTAAGTATATTTTTTTAATTTGTCTATAAATAAATTGTTACTACCATTTGTTGCATTACTAATGTTTGTTGACTATTATTATTATTTTAATAGACTGTAAATTACGAGCTAACACGAGCCTATCTAGATTTAGTGGCCACATATGTAGCCCTCATGGTTTTACTATCACGTGTTGAAGATCGCAAAGCCGTGTTAGGTCTATTTAATGCTGCACATGAGATGGTACATAATCAGAGGTAATGTATTACAATCTATTGTAATATATATCTATCTATATCACATCTATTCACAATAAGACATAAGTAACGCAAACGGCAGAAAACAGTTCCCCCACAAATTCAACAATTTACATATATACCTGCCGTTTAGTATTGCCACTCCCCTGCGCACAAGTTGGCCACCGTTTGAGTTTCTTATTGTGAATAGAGTATAGGTATGAAAAAACATAGAATAAAAAATATACTCACACAATTCAGCAATATAAATCCTCCAGCATATTTTTATCTATCTTTTTAACTCATAACAAATATATAGGTTTCATCACAGATAATGCTGTATATTTTTTTATTTTTTTTTTTGGATATGTGTGTTCTTTTTAAGTTTGTTTTTTATAACTGTCAATTTATGTGATTTGTTGGTAAAACCTATTGTTAAAGGACTTTTGTCCATTAAACTAAGCTAAAATAAATAATCTCAGTATGTATATTTCTATACCAGTCCTATCTCATAGTTTTCTACTTTTGATTTGTTAAAGTTTTTCCCAATAAAATAATAATTGAATAATAATGTCAGCCAATAGTGGAAAGTTTCTATATATACGAGAATATAAAGTTGAAAAATATATTAGAGGGATGTGCATATCAAAAAATCTGTGATCATACCTATCTTTTTTGTCATGGTTTAACATGGCCTATTATAGTAAACATGAAATTGATTTTTGATATTTTCACTGTTTGCCTTTTTGTCTTTTTTACTCGGTATATTAATAATTTGTTTTCAGTGATCTGAGCTTCCCACGTCTTGGTCAAATGATTGTAGACTATGAGCAACCAGTCCGTCGGTTAGCTGATGAATTTGTGCCACATACAAAGCTTTTATCTGGAGCTTTACGTTCTCTTTGGCCAGTGTATGTGCAGCGAAACCTGACTGCAGATAAGTGGAGGTAAGGACTTATTATTTTGATAACATTTCACCTTTTCCACCTAGAAGTATTATATTGCAGATTAATTAAACTATTGTCCTAGGTCTGACCAGAAACTCAGTCTAGTGGGTAACCCTGCTCAACTACTAAAACCTTCATCTACAGACACTGTGTCTTGCGAGTATCTATCATTAGAGACAATGGAGCGATGGATTATATGTATGTAGACATTTTTGGTTTTTATTTTTTTATTTCTCATTGATACATTTAGTTCTTACTGGGAATACCTACAATTTAAATTATAATTAAATAATGCTTTTGTTTGTTGTTTTCTTCTGGGCAGTTGGCTTTTTGCTGTGCCATCAGACATTGCAGCAACAACCACCAAACCAGCAGCAACACAACCAAGACGGTAATGTAGCTCATAAACTGTGGTTAGCTGCACTAGAGTCAAATTGGTCAATTGCCCTGTTTAGGGATGAAACTGTACCCATTCACTCATTTGTTCAGACGTTTTTTGATACATTGAAGGGTTATGGAAAGAGAGTATCTGAAGTTAAAGAGGCACATACACATGCTACACAAAAAGCGTTAGTATTATTACTATTGAAGATATTATTGAATAGGCATGTAATAGTTTATGAAATTATTTTTATCACATTTTAGTGTGTACCGACACCGTGAGCGTCGTAAATACCTACGCACGGCACTTAAAGAATTGGCACTTATTCTAACTGATCAGCCAGGGTTATTGGGACCAAAAGTCCTGCTGGTATTTATTGGGCTAAGTTTAGCTCGAGACGAAGTATGCTGGTTGCTGCGACATGGTGCACCTAATTCTGGCGGTGGTAACAGTCAAAAAGGAACAGGGACAGGTACAGGAGGGACTGGAAAATCTAGTTCCAGTGGAAAATCATCTGGTGTAGAAGACCTTTTAGTTGACAGGCAGCTTCCTGAGTTACTATTTCACATGGAGGAGCTTCGGAGTGAGTTATCAATAGTGTTGCATAAAGATAATTTTTTAAATATCATAAATGTAAAAAATAATTGGTAGAATTATTATCTAGATAAAGATAGAAATCAGCATTTATTATCTAGATAATAGATAAGAAAAAAAATTTTATTTTATATGTGTATGAATACTTTAAAAGTTAAATAAATGTTATTTCTGAAATAAATTATAACGTTCTTTAACTTAAGTAAAAAGTGAAGTAGGTCGATTTTTAAAAAACCTAACAATTTTGTGTCAAAAACAAAAGTTAAAAATTATTCAGATATTTATACATATATTATTATTTTATAATTCACTATAATTTGAATAGCTGATTATTGATTTAAGTACTGAATTTTTGAGTTGTAAACTGAAATAAATTCCTTGTATAAGTACCTAATTAATAAATATAGTACTTATGATTAAAGACCGGATTTATATGGTTTTTAAATTGTAAAGTATACATGCAAACATGCACTAAAAAAAGTCAAAATATACAAGAAAAAAAAATACAAAATATGCATAGTAAAATTTTTATTTTTATTTAAGTTTAGTTTTATTAAAATTTTTATAAAAAAAGGTGAAATACAAATAGTACAAGCAGTACAACATTTTTTTATCATTATTCATTTATAGATTGCAAACCAAGTAAATAACATTTTAGTAAGTAGGTACGACAAATTTAATTCTTTGTAACATAATATTTGATATATAACGTACATAATTTAATCATTTTTTTTTTGTGCTTAACACCTTTTTGGACGTGTATGCTTTTTTGTTAAAATATTCAAAAATATTCAATATACAATTTTGATATTTAATCAATCAAGTAATGATTTATGGACATTCATTGCCCGCTTGTATATGTTGTTGAAAGTAGCAACATGCATTTTATGCAAAATTGGTCTTTACTAATGATAAACATAACTGCCTACAATATAATATGTATTATTAAAATATATGTTTACATTATTCATGGTATTACCTATTCATTATTGTAAACTAGTTATTTTATTATTAATAGTTTTGATTTATGATTGATTAAATTTAAGAAGTGGGGGATGCAAGTACTCTGTTGACAGTCGGCGAATTACGACACCGATATGTTGTTGACCCAAAACCTATTTACCTATTTATAACTAAAAACGTTTAAAATATAAACTTGAGAAATCTAATAATTTAAAATTGAAAAAATATATTTAGGTATATTTATTATTTATAGTAACAATATTATATACAAGTGTTTATTAAAATAATAATTTGTAGTATTGTTGTTTATGTATACCTATAAATAATAAGACACAACACTGGTTTACCAATGCATTTATTGTAACATTTTAAATAATTAATTTTTGTTAACAGTAGAGGTTTTTCATAATTTGTATTAACTCCATCATTATAATTATTCTTTGTCATAACTTTTTAGTGCTGGTGCGCAAGTACAGTCAGGTTGTACAACGTTACTATGTTCAGTACCTGGTCGGGTTTGATGCTGTCCAATTGGCACAATCTATACAATCTGTTTATGGAAATCAGCAAGATCAACAACATTATCAGCAGGATCCTTCTTATGTCATCCTCCAGTCTATTGTGCATACTGTTTCTGCATTGTCGGTCAAGCAAGGTACTTAATCACATGGTTTTTTTTTTTTTAAAAAATATGTATATTTATTTATTCGCTAATTTTTAATTACAATTGAATAGTGGAGGACAATGAGCTATTTGACTTGCGTGCTCTGCGTCTTGACTGGTTCCGCGTTCAAGCCTATTGTTCATCTGCTGGATCCAGTAGTGGTGGTGGTGCCTACAACAGCAACAATTCAAAACTGAACCTTTTTGATCACCGTCAGCTAGCTTCCCAGCTAGACACTGCAGCTCACCATACACGGATGGTGGACTATCTTGATGAAATGCTCGTTGACACTTCCGATTTGTCACTGTTTTGGTATATTTATATTATGTGTTATATACTTATGTGTAATATTGATGCTTGGCTGCTGTTCAAATTAACCAACTAACTAACATTCAGATAAATTACAGCTTTTGTCTTATTATTAAAATATTATTCTATATAATTTTTTTTTTTTTTTTTAGTTTATCAATCCGAAGATTGGTTTTTAACAAATTTTCACACTAAATATCTTCTCCATTTTTCTCTATCATTTGCCATATTTTTTAGCTCCCTGTATTAAGTGACTCCTGCGTCCTGCATTATTTGGCTAATGTATCTCGTCCTAGGTCTTCCTCTTGATCTTATTTCTTCTATCATTCCTTCAATTATTAAACTATGCAATTCATCTCGATGTCTCAACGTGTGTCCTATCATCTGCCATCTCATTTTCTTTATAGTGTCTGACAACGTTTGTTTTTCATCTATTGTTCTCAAGATATCTAAATAAAAATATGGCATATAATATTATTATAATAATGTCTATTTTAAAAATGTAATCATCGCTTGTATAAGTTTTTCTAATTTTACAGATGTTGTTATTTGGTTATTAATCAACAGTGGTTAGGCTTTACATATCCCAGTTACTCTCAATAATATACCAGTCAGATATTACCCTTAATATATAAATGTATTTCTTTTTGTTTATCTTAATTTTATTTATCTTTTGTTACCTAAACAGAGAGCTTCTATACAATTTTGGAAGGAGTTTCACTTTACATTTGAATATCTAATTATTAATTACTAACATATTATTTTTGTATATGTATCTCAACAGCTTCTACAATAAAACGTTTGAGGATCAGTTCCATATGTGTCTAGAGTTTCCAGCTCAGAATCGGTACATTATTGCTTTTCCACTAGTCTGCGGGCATTTTCAGTCATGTGCTCATGAACTCTGTCCTGAAGAGGTAATGTTATAATACATTATTCATCCCATTACAATATACTTTACTTAAAACATTATTTATGTTATCCAATTATTAATTGTTGTTAGCGCCACCACATTCGCGAGCGCAGTCTGTCAGTGGTTAATATGTTTCTAGACGATATGGCTAAGGAAGCCAAGAACATTTTGACAACCGTGTGTGATGAACAGTGCACAATGAGTGATCGGCTTCTGCCCAAACATTGTGCACTGCTAATTGCACAAGCGGTAAACCGAAAGAAAAAAGACAAGTCTTCATCTAGCAAAGGGAAAAACACTGGAGCTTCTATGTTACTTGGGGGAGCAGGTGATGACAATGACAGACCAGGGTCAGAGAGTTATCGTAAGACACGCGAGGAGTTGACCACGTTAGTTACTACTATAAATATATAATATTATTCTAAAATATTCAATAAAAACATAATATTGAACAAATATAACAAATTAATTCTCTTTATTTTTTAAAGTTTGGGAATTTCATCATATTATGATACACTTATTGACAATTTATAATCTGCTTTATTAATTTACCTTTTACATAATAGGATGGACAAGCTACACATGGCCCTTACCGAATTATGCTATGCACTGAATTACTGTTCTACAATAAATGTGTGGGAATATACATTTGCACCTCGTGAGTACTTGCATCAACATCTAGAAACGCGGTTTGGTCGGGCTCTGGTGGGCATGGCCATGTTTAACGCTGATACTGGTGACATTGCCAAACCGTCGGAGCTACTAGCTAGTGTTCGAGCTTACATGAGCGTTCTACAAACTGTCGAAAACTATGGTAATACACAATCACTGCCGATAAATTACCACAATGTAGACTAATCTAGTTTATTGAAAATCTAATGTAGTCCACATCGATGTGACAAGAGTTTTCAACAATGCTTTACTACAACAAACGCAGCATGCTGACAGCCACGGTGACAAAACTATCGCATCATCGTACACTCAGTGGTAATGAAATTTGACTTTTTAAAAATAAATTACTGTGGTTTATACTTTTGGAGAAGTGGTTTACATAACTCACTTCTTATATTTTACTGCTACAACTATATTAGTGTTGTACTAATTTTAGTGCTGCTTACTGTTCACAGGTACTCGGAAGTTTTATTACGTCGGGTGAGTGCTGGCAACATATGTTATTCACCAAATCAACGAGCATTTGTCAGTCTTACCGCAGATGGAGCAGTCCCATTCAATGCAGAAGAGTTTAGTGATATTGGCGAGTTGCGGGCCCTTGCTGAACTTGTAGGCCCCTATGGAATGAAATTGCTCAATGAGACGCTGACATGGCATGTAGCCAGTCAGGTGCAAGAACTAAAAGTAAGTAATAATAGCCTGTATTAACTAATAACGGGTCAGAAATATTGGCATACATTTTAATCAAGAAATTTATCATACTTTTTTTTAACTCTTAGAAATTAGTAGCGGCTAATCGTGAAGTTTTACTGGCACTACGCACAAATTTTGACAAACCAGACGTTATGAAAACGGAATTCAAGAAGCTGCAGCGTGAGTTCATTACAAGTCATACACATAAATGGTCGTACTTGATTATTCAGTTAATTTTGATTTAATTGTTTTAAGATGTGGACAACGTGCTTCAGCGCATGACTATTGTGGGTGTGATCTTGAGCTTCCGACAGCTAGCGCAGTCGGCTCTTCGTGATGTCCTTGAAGATCGAGTCCCCTTCTTGTTAGCCAGTGTCCAGGATTATCACCAGCAGCACCAGCTCCGTGTTGGTGGTGTAATGGGTAATGGTGGTGTCAATGGAGTTGGAGGAGTAGTGGTAGGAGGAACTGGCAGTGTCAATGGGGTGGGCGCAACTGCTGACACTATGGTGAGTAATAAAAAAAACACATTAACATTACATATTGATATTTTTAGTATTAAAATTAATGTGCATACCATATTATTGTAGCTTGTCAGCGAAATGGCTTCGGCTGCAGGCTTGGAATGTGCTGTAGATCCTGCGCTGGCAGCTGCTCTGCGCAATCAAAAGACGGGTATGTTATGACTTATGATGTAATATGTACCCAGGGTTTAAAGAGTCAAGATCCATAAGCAGTTACCAAAATAGGCCATTTATTATTATTTTATCAAAAAAAAAACCACTATTTTATTTATTTGTATATTTACTTAGTAAAAAAAGATAAAAATTGGACTTATTATTACATTAATAATAAGTATTAAAAACTTTTACTGTGAAACTTCCATATAACGAAGTCTCATGTCGAACAATAACAATTTGTAAAGGATTTTGTTAGATAGAATTTTAGCACGATTAACAATGAAGGTCATGATTATCAAACATGATTTGTTAAATGGAAGTTCCACTGTATAACAATGAGACTAGTTTGGTTTTGTGCAAATAATCAGATAACTTCGCTACAGTCCACTGATTGTATTTACAACTCTATGTATAGCACGGATAATGAACTAAGCCTATTTCCTTTGATGGTAGACCTTCAATAATTTTTAAGTCTCTTGCGTGCTGTAAAATTTAATTTTTCTCCTTTTCGAACCTTATCAGACAACAAATGAACTAGTATATTATGATTACACTCGTTTTCTAAAGTTTCATCTAAATCACCATTAGGTAATAATCGACTAATGATGAAAGGGACAAATGTCTGCATATTTTTTTTTTTATGAATAATCAGTAAAACTATATTTGTTAAATTTGCTTACATCATTTTTTTTCTATTTCCATTTTAAATTTGGGTTTATTAGCCGAGGGCCCTTTGAAGGTTGGGGCCTGGAATCTGGAATCTGGTTCTTGATATACTACTTATTAGTACTTGAAAACAATGTATTTTTTTTTGCAGCTGACGAGCATGATGAACATTTAACCGCGTGTTTGCTTATGGTTTTTGTTGCCGTCTCAGTGCCAAAGTTGGCGCGGTCTGAACACTCATTTTACCGTGCTTCACTAGAAGGGCATGCCAACAATGTGCACTGTGTAGCAGCTGCTGTGAATGCTGTGTTTGGGGCACTATTTACTGTTTGTTCTGCTGGTGCAGGACCGGGGGCTGGTGCTGGAGCTGATCCAACTTCAGTTGCCGCAGCAGGAAGCGATATTGAAGACCGTATGAAAGAGTTCCTGGCTGTAAGTTGTACAAATCCAACAACCTTCCCTTTCTGTCTATTATAATAACTGTTTTGTGCTTCTATCAGTTCGTTAATCTTCGGTGAAAGTTCCAATTACCTTTTATTATTTATAAGAATAAATGTATTTTAAAATATATGTGTTATGAAATTTAGCTTGCCTCATCCAGTCTGCTGCGTCTTGGCCAAGAAGCTGACCGTGACACTGTGCGTAACCGCGAGTCTGTTTACCTTTTACTAGATCAGGTACATAATATTATCAGTATGCACTTCATCGTTGCCAATCTTTATAATATTATGTTTTAATACCAAAACCATTACACATAATATATTGTTTGTATTGACAGATTGTTCAAGAATCACCATTTCTCACCATGGATCTCCTAGAGTCGTGTTTCCCTTATGCCCTTATAAGAAATGCGTACCATGCTGTCTACAAGATTGAGCATCATCAGCATGGAGGCCATTCATCGTCTTCGCATCAAATATAATCGGTTACTTCCTCTGAATTACTCATATCTCATGTATTATGATTATGATTTCTTTGTCTCTTTGTTTCAGTAATTATTTCCCATATATAATGTGTAAAATGTGTCGTCCCACATTCCCACCTAGAACAGTTATAATAATAATGACAATAGCACTGCAAACAATATTTAATAATTTATATTATGTTATATTATTACTCTTATCGTTTAATCTCAATATTTGTATCATTATTGTATTATTTAATCTCTTAGTTTTATTTTTTTATTTATTTATTATAATTATAAAAGTGATTTTTATTTTGTACAATTATGAGTGCCAGCCTCAGAATAATTTACATAATGAAAATTCTTATATTGTAGCAATTACTAGTGTTCGTTATTAAGTTATACACCTGAGCTATTGCCAATTTATATTTAATATTAACTATTTATTCCCATTGTTTCTTTTACTATTTTTTAAAATGTTCTAGACATAATTATTATCATTGTTTTTAGTAATAATGAGTATAACAAATAAATACATAAATACATTATTTTTTTTCTTTCTGAACGTTGGGAAGTATACCTCAAAATATACTATGAACTGTTCTTATGTATAGAAATAATAATTTATCATTTATTATTGATTTATATAATTACTTAAATTGTATAATAAAATACTATAATATTATCTGTACATATGCAGAATACCTGCAAAATACCTGTTAGAATTATTTATATAAAATCATAAAGAATACATATCTCTATGATTAATTAAATAATATGACAATATTTCATTACACTTCATACTGTTGAATAATATAACAGATGATTGTGTTTTGTCGTTTTTTTTTAATTTCAAATTGTAAATTGCGTATGAAATTCTCATTTTTTGAATCATATTTTGTGTGTAATCAGATTTTTTACAATTTCCACTAGTAGATGGTATTTCAGTAAAATAAAATAACAATATTGTTTGAATTGAGTGGGAAATAAGTGTTATTTTTTTAATATTTTATATATTGGTTGTTGCATTATAATTTATAACATACTAATATTTTGACATTTATATTTATAGTGGAGTGCATATTATCAATGTAAATTATCAGAAGTGCTAAAAATATGTTTATGTTAGTATTATGGTGAAAAAGTTTATGTACACTAAACTAAAAGATCCTAACGCATCATTTATTAGAGAATATTATTTTAAATGCACTATAATATTTGATTCAGTTTTTCTATTTTTTGTTATTTTTTTAATCAAAATTAGTAGCTAGTTGAAAAGCATATTGTTTTTGATATTATAATTACATATGACATAACCGATGTAAATGTTTTTTGCATTTATGTTTGCATTTTGAACAAATGATAATACATTAAAGAATTACAATTTGTTATTATTTTTTTTTTCAAGGATTACATCTTTAATTGATAACGTGGAGTATTATATATATATATACATATAATAATTATTGCTTTAAAAAATAATTTATTTGGAAGTACAACAATAATTGCAAAAATATATCTTTCTAAAAAAGTATGTTATATTGATAAATTAACAATAAAAAAAAATTTAGTTTCTTATTTTTGTATATCAATTCAAATATGGCAAAACCAACTGACAGCAATTATACCCAAAATATTAAAAATATTTTTAAATATTTAGTACCTTTTGGTTTTGTGTAATTATATTTCTATGAACTAAGTTTTAAAATACATCCAGTAATATTCTAAGCTTAACTAAATATTTAAGTTTTTAATTTAAGCCACAATAGCAGAAGAAATATTATTCATCAACAAAATACAATTGTGTATTGTTTGAGTCTTAAACCTAAATAATTAATTCCCAAGGCTGGGCATTAACTAGTTCATAAGTTAGAAGTTAGAAGTTAAGTTAATTTTAACTTATTAACTGAACTTACTAGTTCGGTATTTTAATTAACTTAACTTAAACTTAACTCATTTGCCTTTACATAAACTTAAAATCAACTCATATTTATTATGTATTTTCCCAATTAAGTTAATTTCGAATATTCTTATTACCCAAAATATTTTTTGTTTATTATGGATTTGCGGTTTATAATAGTTATTAAAAGTTTGCAGAATAAAGAAAATATTATCAGAAAAATAATAAGTTATATTTACAAAGAACTTCGTATTTATATTTAAAGGTAAAAACTAATATATTGTATTAATAAGTTTTTTTATAAATATAATATAGGGGTAACATAAGTAGGTAGCCCATATGAAGACATCGATGCCACAAATTATATTCATAAATCATAATACCTATTCATAACACATTAGTTATTAATTATTTTTTTTTTGTACAATAATGAGTATCATAGATTGTTTTAATAGTAATTTACCTGATTACTATACAAATTTTTATCACTTGTTTTATTAAATAATATCTTTTAAATTGTTTTTTTTTTTTTTTTTTTATTCTTAGTTTAATATACTTATAAGTTTAAGTTAAGTTAAGTTAACAGTATTTGTTAACTAAATTTAAACTTACTTGATGTATTAAAAGTGTCTATTTACTTAATTTTAATTTAATTGAAAAAAACCGAGTTAAAAAATATCATTAATTTGCCCAGCCTAGTTAATTCCATTAGTTTTATAATAGTTAACAAAATATGAGTTAATACTTAATAGGTAGATAGTTATGACTTATTTTTGATTTCTGTAGTTACATACGAAGACACACCTACTTTGAATACACCAAATTATATTTATCTATAGCCAAGTAGGTAATATAATATGCATTAAGGAAACTAAAAAATCTTAATCATAGGAGTATGACAGCATGATTACGATACAAAATAAAAATGATAAATAGGTATATGTGTATTGACTATTCTGTAATGCAGTGAAAGAACATAATATACATAATATAGTATTTACTATTTTGTAATTTCCTGTTTTTAATCACTGTAAAATTTTATTAGGTTAAGGGGGCTGTAAAGTAGCACATTTTAAGGAGTACTGTTTAGGCAATTCATGTGACATATAAATTAATACTGTGTCTATGTATGAGTAGTAAATGAACATTAGTGTGCGTAATAAGTTATCGCGTTGATTGCGCGAATTCTGCTAATTCGGCGGGCGCATGAGCGAGTGTCTTTCCAGTTAGCAGTCTATGTTATCATTCCTATACGAGTATTCATAACAAAATAATATTGTAAATAATAATAATATTATGTTGTTTGAGGTTTGTCTGTGTCTTTCACTGTTTTACTTTTAAATGTTTATTTAAAAATGTATTACTAAATTTTAAAATACACTTTATTAATAAATTATGATAATGGTTAGTTCTTAATTAATAATTATGTAACATAATACAATATACCTTTCTAATAAATTATTTTTTTAAACTATTTTTTCCTAGGATTTTTTTGCTTGGACTTTTTTTCTACAAACTTTTTATCATTTACCAAAACTAAAAAAATTGAAAATTGAAAATGTCCGTAAACAGCTCAAAAAGAGTCAAAATATTTTCAGAAAATGCTAATTTAAACATTCAGTGAAATTTTCATGTATCTACAGTTATTCGTTTTTGAATTACAACAAAATAAGGAAATCGCTACATGAGAAATCGAGTGAATATCCAATGTTGTAAGAATTTGAATTTCAAAAGCTCATAAAAATTTAATTTGACTTTCGTTTAGACATTTTTTTTTTGATTAAGAGGACGCCACACCCGCATGTGTTGTCTCCGTCTTACAAATGTACAACATAGCAAAAACTCTTTTGCGAGGGACAACTTTTCTCGCACCATATTTGTTGTAGAACTCTGAACTACCAAATTTTCACAGCACTTAAAGAAGAACTTTATCTGTGCAACAGCGTGCTCTTTTTTTCAATAGCACCATCCAATCATTTTTTAAAAGCAAATTAAAAAACCAAATGTTTAGAAGCAAATAACTTATATTGTATATATGTTATTGAAAAAAAGAGCACGCTGTTGCACAGATAAAGTTCTTCTTTAAGTGCTGTGAAAATTTAGTAGTTCTACAACAAATATGGTGCGAGAAAAGTTGTCCCTCGCAAAAGAGTTTTTGCTATGTTGTACATTTGTAAGACGGAGACAACACATGCGGGTGTGGCGTCCTCTTAAGGTAGGTAATCTTATAAGGAATCTTGTATTACATTTTAAAACCTTAGATTTAAAAAGAAAAATATTTATGAATTCTTAAATAATTTGCTAATTTTCGTGATTTTTCCATATTTTGTCAATTTTTGAACTTTAAATGCTTATAAAAAAAAACTGTGACTAAGGATTTTTAATATTTTTCAAATGCCATTGTAACAATAAAGTAGGAGCCTTGTATTAAATTTTCAAGCTTTTTTAACCAACAAATAACATTTTATTGATAATTTTAGAAAAAAAACTAAAAAAAAAATTTAAATTAAAATGTGCCTAAACAGTTCAAAATAAATCAAAACATTTTGAAAATGTTATCGTTTATAGAAAATGCTAATATAAACATTCAGTCCTACGGTCGTCGGTCATTTGTTTAAGAGTTGCACCAAAAACCAAAATTGATTTTTTCGAAAACAGATTTTAGTGTATAAATTCCCGTTTTTCCTTAATTTTTATGTTGTTTTTCCCGGCGCTCGTGAAAACTATTTTGAAATTTTCACTTTTGACCCCCCAAAGTACCGAATAGATTCACTTTCCCATCAGAAAAACTACTATTGAAGAAAATCCAAGCACTTTTACTGTCCTAAAACGTGATGACAGTCACAAAAAAAAAAAAAAAAACACACACACCATTGTAAAATCAATACATTCATCGTTTCACTCAGAATCTAAAAGCACAAACCACCGGAAACTCACAGACAACTTTACTGATCAGAGTGTAGTGTTCAAATATAATGATTCATACTATTCATAGGTAGTATATTATACTCGTATATTGGTTTTATTTAATTTTGGAAAAATATTATTATAATTGTTGCATATTAATTATTCTTGTATACCTATCCAGTAATTCTTATCTTCTAATTGTTTCCGGGAA